TTTAACATGGGTCGACACATACCCACATGGGTCGACTAATTCTAAGTGAAAAAACATGGTATGAGTTGACACATGGTTGTATGCATCGATTCATACTGCTACCCAGGGCCTAAAACAGAAAGATGGAAGGTGCATGAGTCGACACAAAATGCGCATGTGTCGACACAAGTAGGAAATGAGTCGACACATCCCATTATGCATCAACTCATACTGAGTTGATTTAGTTTAGCAGGGGCAAGGAAAATTATGTGTCAATGCATAACAGTATGTGTTGACACATAATAGTTTAAAATGCAGTTTTTCCTTCTTTTTACCTTGTTTCTGTATTTTATAAATATATATATATATATATATATATATATATATATATATATATATATATATATATATATATATATATATATATATATATATATATATATATATATATATATATATATATATATATATATATATATATATATATATATATATATATATATATATATATATATATATATATATATATATATATATATATATATACTACATCACTGTCCACTTATTCGATATGGTTGTAATAATTAGACACCTATTTCATCCCCATTTGCAAACTGTATCCCCATCCCCCTAATGATGTAATAGCGTAGAATTTTAATTTCCGCAATTTATTATTTTCCTTATATTGTGTAGTAATTAAGCGTGCATGGAAAGATTTAAAATCAATTTCTAGATAACCCTAATCAAAGAACAACTTAACTTGAATCAAACACACTTTCACACGCGCACCTCTAGGGTAACCTCGCTTGTTGCCTCGGAAACACAATCATGTCCCTCGAATATGGGACACTTTAGCAAAAACCCTTTGATAAAAAGATCGTAGTCCCTCGATGACCCTCAATGTTGCCTTCGGTAAAACGATCTAGTCCCTTATGAAAAATTGCTAAATCGTCTCATAAGTTGCCTTCTATGACTGTACGACGTACCACGCTTGTCCCTTCACATCCAACTATGGGGCTTCTTACCAAATTAATGGTAAGATAGCAACATCTAAAGGAGGAGGAAAAGAACATTAAAGACCCTTTGAGTAGGTAGATTCGCTCCTAGTTGTTTGCTTTCTCACAACCAAACATTTTACACCAACACTTTCATATTAAAACCTTTTCCAAAGACAAACACTTTGTACGCGTTCTTATAGAAACGAGAGTCACTACAAAGAAGACACATTTTCAAAATCACCTTCAAAAAACACATTCCACAAACACATCTTTGAACTATTTTTTGAAACAACACTTTGTACGCGTTCTTATAGAAACGAGAACCATTACAAAGACATTTTCAAAATGCTTTCAAAACCCACACCATGAGCACATTCAAACAAAAGTAAGTGATCTAGCAAGTAATTAAGAGCTCGTAGATAACTACGGATGAAAAGGATGCTAATACCTTCCCTTTTCATAATCTACCCCCCGAACTCAAGAAAACATCTCTAAAGGTCTTTCCTGCTCTTTTCAACCTTTCCTTTTGGATAAAAGAAAAGTCAGTGGCGACTCTTGCTATCCGCACAATTGCGATCAAACACAAAACAACCAAGTTAGTTCTCCCATCGCGTTACAGGATGTCAGGGCATTATTCAGGACATGTTTCTTGTATGATCAACAAAGGAGTAATATGGACGGTGTGATCAAACATGTGTCATAAGGGAGCGTATAAAGTGTGTTTGAATGTGCATGTATTAGGACTATTTCTTTTCAGCAAAAATAGTCCAGAGCTAATAAACCCATTCAAAGTTGTTTTGGACGGTGCATATTGATTTTGGTGGCAGATTTATCCTCAAATAATAATTTCTTTTGACCAATACCATTGCTACAATCAAGGGTCGTCATTTCCCAAGCAAATATTCAACTAATTATAGAGGTTAATTCTTTCCTCTTTCACCTTGTGAGTGTTCTGAGTTTTCACAATCCTGGTGGGTTTTGTTCGAGTATATGCGAGCTGTGTTTGGGTTTGATTTTGTGAAGGCTTCCTTTGCCAAATTTTGGCTAAAAAGGGGAGAAAGGTGCTCAAGGTGCTCAGTTGTTTAATTTGGAGGCTGCTTTTCCAGATGTGTCACAAAGATGTTGGATAGGATGTCTGATCTTATGTCTGTTTGGGTTAGCTTTGTGACTTATGATCTGAGTTATGAGCACAGTTGTGACCTGTGTTCTGAGTTACCAGGGGTAGTGGTTGATTTTCCCAGGTCGATTGGGGGTTGCTGATTCAAGTATGGTTAAGAATTCTCTTGTACCACCATTGGTCTTTTAAGATTCATCCTGGTTTGAGGGAGAGTGTTACCTATCTTCTTCCTCATGTACACCAAATGACTTCAAGACTTTCTACTCCTTTATCCCGAGGTTGCTGTTCTTTGGTGTTGAAGTTCTTGCTGCTATGGAGTTATTATGAAGATGATGTCGAACATGATGTCCTAACATCATTGTGCTTATAAAGACTGACTCCAAATTGACATGATGATGTGTTTAATAGTTATTGAAGACTGGATTGCATTTTTGTATTGATGTAATCTGATTTGTAATTTTTATTATTTGTTTTAGCCAAAAAGTTCCAAAGGGGGAGATTATTAATTCTCTATTTTTAGAATTGGCATTAATTTAGTAAAATAAATATATCAGCAATATGTTAGATAGGATGTGTTAACTTTCTAAATAGGAATAAATCGAGCAAGAAGTCCTATCTTATGAAGGAACGTATTGAGTTGAAATGTTTCAACATCTGGAGCAACATGTCGGATAAGATGTCCTATGTAGGGTCATACAACATCGTGCCTGAGCTGAGCTGGATTAGTGAACTCAATTATGATTTAATAGTTGCAGAATATTCTGGGAAGATTATACAATCTTATGTGGCGCTGATATAAAGGTCTGGAAGAATAAAGTCATAATATTGAAGAATATGCAATTTCTAAATATGGAGATATATTAGGAAGCTAATGATTGAAGACCTTGTTTGTAGTATAAGTTAGTGTTGATTTGTAACAACTAATGAACTGTGATTAGAAGCTCAAATCTAGTTGGGAATAAGTTATGAGTAGAATGCTTGTATCCTAGAAAAGACACGGGTCCAAGATGTAGAAGTTTAGGGCTTTGTCTTTCTACCAGCCGAGAATTGAAAGATGTAAGCATTAAGAATGATTCTGTACCACTCTCTAGGAGAGTTGGTTATGTAATCCACTCGATATGTGAGTTGTGTTATGTTCCTTAAGCTGCAAGGTTTTGTTATCATTCTTAAGCTTTTAAGCACATAGTTGATTATTGTTCTTTAAGGAAACTTTTAAGCAACTCCAAGTTGTGTTCTTAGTTAGGAGTAAAGTTGTAAACGTTGGAGTTTAGCTTTACGTCTTGACTGAGTATTGTCATGGAAATGTGTCTTCTGTTTTGATGTCATGGAAGTATGTCTTTATGTTTTTTTCAATCGTTGTATGTGATTAATGAGGAATTGAGGAGGGCCTCATATCTAGGTGAGTCTTAGATAGAAGTATAGCATGGGTAGTGATTAAGTGAGTAGATCGTAAACTAGTATGTTTGTTGTAGGGTCTATGAATTTATACTATCATAGTGGACTTTTCTCTGGCTTGGTATGCCCCTAGAGTAGGAAAGTTGCTCCGAACTGGGTTAACAATTTATGTGTGTTGTTTATGCTTTTCAGTACTGTTTTGTTTGTTGTACCTTGTCTGTGTTGTTTATGTCAGATCAGATGTCCCACCATGTCATAAAACATCAGAAGTTTTGACCTACTAGATTTTCAATTTGGTTTTGTTTTGATTTGAATCGGTATACAATTTTGCAAGGGACAACAGGCAAACCATAATTGTGCCCAAAAATATTTATGGTTAGTGCAGATTGTTTGTTTGAACCTCATAATTTTGAAATAGTAATTGAATAATTGATTTGGTTTGTGTAGATTGTTGGTGTGTTACCCATAAGCTTTCTAACTTTCACATCTAAAATATAAAATTAAAAAAAGGATGAATTAACGTAGACGATGATGATATCTTTATGCTATTGTTGTTGTTTTATCTAGATTTTTCCTTCATCTTAGTTTTTCTAGGTAACAAAATGAAACTGGTAACAAAGAAGACCCCACGTGGAGCTAACATGGACACATATGTTAAAATACTTAACAACGTTCAACAAAAATGATTAAAAATAATAAACCTTAAACATTTAATATATTTAAGAGACCAAAATAATCGTTTTTAAAATTAAAGAGCCAAAATGAACCTCTCTTAAAAATATGGACCAAGAAAAATGCTATGTTGTCTTTAAAAAAAATGAAAAAGAACACCATCACATTCAACCGGAGTCCGCTTTAAACACCACACCAAAGAGGTAATGCCAAAAATCTCATATGTGAATTGGATTGACTCTTCTTTACAAATTATAAGGATGCGCCAATTCATTGAAAATATCATATCTATTGGAAACAATTTTTCCATCCATCACAAAAAACTAGATAGTGTACATTCAACCAATCAATTAATAACATATTTTTATTTAATAATTCAAATTTTAAAGATTTTCAATACCTTTTACTCTATAAATAACTCTACCCAACATTTTGAAATGGATACACTTATCTATTTATACTCCAACCGTCAATAACTCTAAAGTCTGATATATGCAAGCGCCAATTGGTTGATAGTGCATTGTCCGACTTTGTTTTTTTGTTTTGTTTGATACATGTATCCGAATATATGAGAGTTAACTTGGTTATTTTGTAATAAAGTTGGTCAACATGGTCATTTTGGTAAAATTTTCATATAAAAACATACGAGGAAATTATTATAAAATCTTCCACGAGATGCACGACGCGACCATAGTCTTAAAAAACAAAATCCAATACGTTAGCAACAAAATTTCAAATCGACTATTCTTTCTCCACTTCTCTTTCCTTTCTCATTCCACAACAACACTAACATATGTCACTAAGATCAAATTCAATTCAACCATAATAGTAACACAGTGATGATGAAGTTGATAGAACAATCTCAAGTTTCACCACCACCCAATTCACTTCCATCACCAACCACTCTCCCTCTCACTTTCTTCGACATCCCATGGTTTTATTGTCAGCCTGTTCAACGCATCTTCTTCTACCGCTTTCCTCATCCAACACATCACTTCCTTCAAACAACACTTCCCATTCTCAAACACTCTCTTTCTCTCACCCTCCAACACTTCTTCCCATTCTCCTCCAACCTCATCATCCCTCCTAATTCCGATGACCCCCCTTACATACGCTACCTCAACGGCGACTCTCTCTCCTTCACCGTCTCTGAATCCTCCGCAAACTTCAACCTCCTCATATCTGATTCACAAGACGCTCAAAACTGGCACCCTCTTGTTGCTAACCTACCTCCACCTCGTATAGAACCAAACGGTGCACGAGTTATTCCTATAATGGCCATTCAACTCACCGTTCTACCAAATCATGGATTCTCTATATGCCTCACGTTTCAGCATGTTGCCGGAGACGGAAAATCACTTCATCATTTCATGAAATATTGGGCCTCTCTTTCAAAAGCCAGTGCAAACAACCACAACAAACATAGTTTATTATCTCTACCTCTTGATCTTCCTTCCCATGAAAGAGATAGAGTTAAAGACACAAAAGGTCTTAAATCTATCTACTTACAAGAACTACAAGATTCAGATTCAAAAAAGATAGAATTCGCAGGTATTATTCGAGATTCATATATTAACAAGGTTCGAACAACTTTAGTTTTGAGCTATGAACAAATTCAGAATTTGAAGAAATGGGTCACTGATAAATGTAAAGACAGTCACAACCACGACAAAACACAACATGTGTCAACTTTTGTCGTAACAAGTTCATTAATTTGGTTTTGTATAGTAAAGTCGGAGCAGGGCGAAAGCAAAAGTGATCAAGGTGATTGTGTTGTTGATGACCTATGCTACTTTGTGTTTCTTGCAGATTCTCGTGATAGCAGTGAATTTTCATTACCAAAAACCTACTTTGGAAATTGTCTTACCTCTTATACTGTGTCAGTAAAGAGGAATGACTTACTTGGAGAAAATGGGATTATTGTGGCTTCAAATGGTATTGAAAAAAAGATAAGAGATTTTAAGAGTGATGCTTTATTAGGAGCTGAAACATTGATGTCTCATTACAGGGAATTATCGAAACCTGGTAAATCTGTTGTAGTTGTTGCAGGATCACCTAAACTTGCTGTTTATGAGACTGATTTTGGTTGGGGGAAGCCTGTGAAATCTGATTCAGTACATCTTGATTCATCTGGTTCGATTTCTCTTTCTGATTGTAGAGATGGTGGAGGTGGAATTGAGGTTGGTTTGGCTCTTGATAGGTCTCGAATGGCTAATTTCATCAGCATCTTTCAACAACAACTTGATAGTATCTGTAACATGTGGATGGAAGAAAATGCACAAGTCTTGGGTTTCAGCAGCTCAAAATGATTACAAAGTTTCTACTTTTTCTACTAAATAAAGTATGTCTACTTAAAATCAACAATTTTCTAAGTTTATCATGTCATTATAGTAACTTCAGTTTTTTACTTAATTTTTATACTAAGCAAATTTCTAAGTTAATATCCATAAGCAAACACCAAACTAAGTTGGATTAGCATGTCCTAGATGTATTTTTATGGATTATTTACCTAATAAAAAAGGTATAAGTATTATAATCCTCCCATTTATAAATATTATGTTTGTAAAGGTGTCCCTTTTCACAAAAATGTGTCTCACGTCACTCGTCCTTAGTCTCAAGGGAAGAGAATGAATGACTTCGACTTTGTGTTTGAGTTTTTGATCTTAAGTCATAACTTCTCTAAAACACCCAAGTAGTTTTTGAGTTTGAGTTATCACATATTGTGAGTGAATCTACTCTTAATCATAGTCCTAAATCTACATATAGTCCTATTTTTCGTTTCTAATCTACATATAGTCCTATTTTTCGTTTCTCCGTAGTCTTCAGTTTTGTTGGAACCAACACTTTAAACCCAATTATAATGTATCAGAGAAACCATAAGTCTAATCTGCTCTAGAAACAACTTCAATCTCTTGAACTTGGAATAAGTATTAAAAATGATTCTTTTATTAGTGATTTTAATTTTTTTGATACTATTGATATTGATCCAAATGATTTTCCCATTACTTTGAGAAACGATAAAAGATCATGTTTCTCCAAATATAGATATCATATTTCTCAATATGTCTCATCTAAACATCTTTCCACACAATATCAAATTTTTATTATAGCTATTAATTATGTGAGAATCCTATCATATGTTGAAGAAGCATTGAAATATAAAAATTGAGGTCAAGCTATGAGCGAGCAAATGAAAACTTTTGAGAAAAATAGTATTTTAGAAATTATTGAGGAAAAAAGGCAAGAAGTCATTTGGATTTAGAAGGACCTATACTGTGACAAGGCAAGATTAGTGTAAAATGTTATGCTCAGACATATAACATTGATTCTGAAGGTACATATGCACCAGTGACAAAAATGAAAACTATTTGAATCTTATTATCTCTCGCTGCTACTTATTTTAGATAGGAATCAAAACAATTTGATGTTAAAAATAGTTTCTTGCATGAAAACTTAGAAGAGGAAGTGTATATGGAGATTCCATCCAATTTTAGCATCGCAGATGAAACCTATTAGAGATAGATGTAGATAAGTTAGTTATGTGTCTATAAGTTAGTTATGTGTATGCATAGGTTAGTTAGAGTAAGTATGAAGTTAGTTAAGAATGTAACTAACTTCATCACCTAACTACATTGTATAAATATTCATAAGCTAAGGCTAATTCAATAATATGAATTGATCACAAATATATCAAGCAAATCTTGATCTTTATATTGCATGTTCGTCTTTCCTTCCATGCATAACTATGTTCATCAGTGGAGGTTCAATTCTCTCCTCTAACAGAGCCAACAAGCTGTATATATTAAATAAGGCTTTATATGGACTAAAAAGTCGCCTCAAGCATGCTTTGGACGATTCACACAAAAATATTGTGTTTGGATTATAATCAAACTTAAGGAGATCACACTTTGTTTTTTAAATATACACAAAGAGGAAAGCAAAATATATTTCTTGTTTATGTTGATGATATTATTGTTATAGGAAATAATTCAATTGAGAGACAACTACTTAAAAAGAAATTATCATAAGAAGTTAAAATGAAGAACCTTGAAGAACTAAAGTATTTATTGAGAATTGAGGTAGCACATTCAAATAAAAGCATTTTTATCTCTCATTGAAAATATGAGCTTAATCTTTTGTAGGAAACATGAAAATTTAAAACGCAAACTTACTAGTGATGAGGAAAGGGCAAAAGCTGACAAAGTTCAATATCAAAGGTTAATGGGAAAGTAGATTTACTTGAGACATAAATTATCAGATTTGACATATGCAACTGGTATGGTGATCCAGTTTATTTATGATTTGAGGGTGAGACACTTGCAAGAGATTCAATGCATTCTACAATATCTCAAAGTCACTCCAGAAAGAGGAATCTTGTTTAAAATAGGTTGGATTCTAACTATGGAGGTTTACACTGATGGTGATTATGTAGGTTCATTGATTAATAGAAGATCTACTTCTGGCTAGTGCACCTTCTTGTGCAGAAACCTTGTTGCTTAGATGAAGTGTAGTTGCTTGTTAAGCATTGGAATAGAATTCAGATCAATTTCATTAAGAATTTTTAAATTATTATCGATGAGACAAATGTTATAATATTTTAAGATATAGCGTTGAGGTCTTATGAAGTTGTTTTGTGACGATAAATCATCCATCCGTTTTTCACATAATCCGGTTTAACATGACATGACAAAACACATTGAGATTGACCGATATTTCATGAAAGAAAGTTGGATAATAGATTGATAACTATCGCTTACATATCTTTTAGGCATCAATTGACATATGTGTTAACAAAGGGTCTACCAACATAAAGATTCAACTAACTTACTTATAAATTTGGAATGATTGATATCCATTCTCGGACTTGAGGGGGGGTCTTTAAATTTTTATAGTTATTTACTTTTATTAGTATGATTATTTTTATATTTATATCTATTTCAGCTAGTTTATTCTCCTATTATAAATCACAACTTTGAAATATATAAAAATACCTATTCTACAAAAAAAACTTAGAATGAATGGGTTAAGTCTAACTCATTCCTACGAATCGGCTTGTAAGATGAGGGCTATCCTAACTTTACAAACATTACACATATCATATCTCTGAGCAACACAAGACTAAATTCATCCCTTTTAAACTCAACACAATTAAGTCATTAGAAGTTGGAATGAAGAAAAGCCAAATGTGATAATTATGAGAGTATGGGAAGACCATAATGAAGGAGGAATTTACAACAAATAAGTTTAGTTTTGCCAACAATTAAGTTTAATTTTGTAGATTCACAATTCCCACATTAAGTTTGAATGTATAACCAAACACACTATAAATCTATTATCCAATCACATAATCTAAACCTTTTTTTTCAATTTTAGAAAAAATGAAAATGTTTGAAATTGAAGATTATTTGACTATGTTGTAATCAATATTATTGGTATGTAATTCAACTATAACAATAATTTGAGTTTGTTATAAGAAAGTGACTTGGAAGCAAATTGTCACCCATTGAATGTTTTGAAAAATAATTAATTAGTTGATTTTACTTTTATATAAACTCTTGCCTATCATTTGTAATAGACTAGACCATTAATTTAGCTCACTATTTTTTTTCTACTTCAATTTTGTATACCTTTAATGAAGGTGTGAAGAAAACGCAAGAAAGGGGATTTTGAATTGGGTTTTCTTTTCTTGAATAATTTTTGCTTCTAAGCATTATTTATTGAACAATGCTTGAGTGTTACTTCTAAGTAATACTTCTAATTAAAGTTAAGAAAACATAAACTCTAAAGCATAAGCAAAAGTAAAGAACACATGATATATCCTGGTTCACTTGAGAAACCCCCAAGCTAGTCCAGTCCACCATACCAAGGTGATTTCACCTATAACTCAAGGACTTAATCCACTATAACCAGTCTGATTCTAATCACACGGGCAACCGCCGGTGACTAACATCCAATGACGCGTTCAGGGATCCAAACTGGGTTGATTGACCTAATAGAATCTGATCCCTCAGAATCTCCTACCAGGATTTTCTTCCAATGATATCCATAGGTGATCCCACAAAGTTGACCTTCACTCAGTCCCCTTTGAGATATGACTACCATTGATCCAATAGAATCCACTACCAGGATTTCATAATGACCTTTTTGAGAATAAACCTTCACTCAGCCTCTCAAGGTATCATCAAACAACTATTTGATTTACATTTGTTTACAATAAGATGCTTCTACACAAGCTGGATGTAAACATAATTTAATCATACATCAGAAGATCCTAATACACACTAAAAATATTACATTGTATTCTAGCTTGACGTGTGGTCTTCTTTTCTTCAAGTAGCTTCTTCTCGGACAACAACCCAAAGCACTTGAATTGCTGAAGTCTTCTTCTTCATAAGCTTCTGGAAGCTTTGTTGATCTTGATGTAGTAAAGAGAAGAACTTCTTCGTATTGATTCACCTTAGAAAATTCTAGACAACAACCCTTGTTCTATTTTCTTCAATGATCAATTTAGAGCACAACATTTATGTTGTGGGTTTGTAACTGGAGCTTTCATGATCATCTTCATTATCTTCTACGGCTCAGCAAGCTTTGTGCAGCATATGAAATTAAGCACATTGTGAATCAATGATTTCATTGTAATCATTATCAACATGATTAAAGAATCATTCTGATAACAATTGTTCTTGTTGTTGTTATAGTGGTTGATAGCTTTTTGGTTGTGTTCCAAAAATCACAGCTTTTATTTTAACATTGAACACCAACAACATTTTAAACATACGATTCTTTTTTTTATATATCCAAGCAAAATAGATCCGTTTTCTATTTGAAAAAGAGTTGTTACAAATAGTACTTCTACATAATTTTCTCTTCCACAATTAAAGCTAGTGGAGAGGTAGTGGAATAAGACTTTTTCATACTGTGTACTATTGTACCATGTTAACATTATATTCTTTCCTTATGCACTTCAAAGGCTTCTGCGAGCATGAGTTTAGAAGCGGGAACATAACATAAGGTCTTTAGAAATTCAAGTCTTCAGAGTCTTCAGAAGTGCGTCTTCAGAGTCTTCAACACTGGGTCGTGAGAACTGTTGTAGAGAACCTTGGATCAGAAGAGCTTCAAGTCTTCAGAGTCTTAAGAACTGTGTCTTTAAGTCTTCAGCACTTGGTCTTGAGAATCTTGGATCAGAAGAGCTTCAAGTCTTCAGAGTTTTAAGAACTACGTCTTTAGAGTCTTCAGCACTCGGTCTTGAGAACCACTGTATAGAACCTTGGATCTTTAGAACTTTAAGTCTTTGGAATCTTCAGAACTT